CACTGTATATGTCCTTTAATAAATAAATTTCTGTATAGATTTTTCTGAAAAACGTTGACAAAAGGTACCAAAAATTGTCAAAAAATAGATTTTCAGTTTCCAAGCACACTCAGTCTTTGGAAGTCACCAAAGTTTGAAGACACTTTTCTCACTAATTTTACGTCTGACATAAGGGAACCTACCCTCCCCCCCCCCTGCACCCCCACACACCTCCTTCAGATGTAAATAGCTTGGCTGCTATTCAGGATAATTGAGTATTGTTTTTATAAAAAGCAAGAAAATTGAACATGCTTTAAAATGATACCAATAACTCCGTATACCCATAAATTGATCAGGGTTCCATGAACATGAATTCGCATATTATCTTATAGTATTGCATGTTGGTGCCTGCCGTTACGTTTCGGATAAGGAAAATAAAACAAACACGAAGAAACAATTGTGAATGAACAAAACAAAAATTAAACTTTTTGTTTATCGTTTGTTTGAGTCAAGTCTCAGTTTGTTTGTTCGTTTGTAGTAATGTGCCCCAAATAACGCACCTCCAGGCGTGGCCGAATGGCCAGAATGCGAGTTCTTAACATTAATTATTTAATTTCTAAACGGCTTACCCCCAGCTGCGATCAGTCATGTGTCCATAATCATGTTTCAATTTCGCGCTTTGAGCAAAACCAGCCTTGTGGAGCAATTTCTTTTCCATCAGGCCGAGCGATCTTCAAGGATTAAGTGCGCTCATATGACCTTATCAGTTGCGAGCGCCGTAAAACCTTATACTATACATACATAGAAGGACTAAGTGGAAACATCGGAAGTAGTAGGCCTCTATCCAAAAAAAACTGTGGTGCGAAGGCATACAATGGATTTAAGGTCCCACAAATTTGACAACTACGTAATACGTTTTTCAAACTGATCTTCGCGCGACCAGTTTCTAGTTGATTGCTCCTCCCAGAAGAGGTTGTGTGTTTTCTCCGCTCAGCCGCGATTGGTTCAAACGGAGCTGAAGTGCGCCTATATAGTTGCAGGCAGATACCAATCTCCCAGAGCCGAGCGGATTTCCAGATCGGGAAGTGTGCAAGTTTTAATACACTCTTCTGGCACAGCATCTGCAGCAAGTGTTAACATATTTATTGGTATGTGTAGACTTTCATTCAAGTGCTTACATAGTGGTGGTGGGTGCTGACTTTTCCCGCAAGTGCTTACATAATTTTGGTAGGTAGCCTATCTGCTATTTTTCGCATGTGTTAACAAATTTCTAGTATTTCTTCTTTCCAACAGGTGTTAACACATTTCTGACATTCTCTAATTCCATCGAGTTCTAACATATTTTGCCGTTCCTTCTGTCCAATAGGTGTTAACATACTTCTGGCATTCTCTAATTCCAGCGAGCGTTAATAATATATTTTTGTCATTCCTTCTGTCACAATAGCTGTTAACATAATATTTCTGGCATTCTTTAGTCCCAGCGAGTGGGATCAAAATAATTATGCCATTCCTTATTTCCATTGGATGTTAACATAGATCTCTGTAAGTCCTTAGTTCCAACGAATGTTCATTTATTTCTGTCAATCCCCTTATCTGGCTGTTAAAAATCAACACTTTTCTACCCTCCCACTAGCCAGGATGGGAAAGGAACAAAGCCGCGCACTTTTTAAAGGTATTGATATAATTTGATCGTCAATACCATCCTATGGTTACATTGCTAAAAAGTATTTTGAATTTATTTGTAAAAAAATTAAGTGTCATGGCCACTATTTTCGGGTGAGTCAAATTATTGAGAGACTGAAAGAGGTGTAGACTATCCATGTCATACAAAAGTAAACATGTTTTTTCAAAACTGCTACACGTTTGCGCCTCGGATTGATATCGTTTGAAAGGGTTTTTGTTGTTGTTGTTGTTTTTTTGTGTATGTTTTTTGGGGGGTTTGTTTCTCATTGAGCCCTATTAGAGTGGAGCTGGTGTGCCACCCAAAAACCCATTCACAGAAAAAAGGAGAGTTGTAACACGACGACAGAAGGGGTGTGTATTAGCAATAAAGTTCCACTCTCGATCACCATGGCTGATAAAAGAAGGCTAGATTCTCCTTCTTCTTCTCCTTCTCCTCCTCCTCCTCCTCCTCCTCCTCCTCCTCCTCCTCCTCCTCCTCCTCCTCCTCCTCCTCCTCCTCCTTCTTCTTCTTCTTCTTCTTCTTATTCGCGCTCCCCTGCTAGATCTCAGGGGTAGTTGACTGCTGATTTTTCAACCTGCAGTTCTACTGATTTTTACGAACGTGACCGCTTTTGTTTGTAAGTAGGGCCTCTTCAGGTTGCCATATTCTGGTTTGGAAGGTACTTTATATGTTTTTATTCTGACTAGATCTAGAGTATTTTCAGGTGGCGAAGGCATTCTCACCGACAACGTCATACTCAGGGTCGACATATCGCTACCCTAGAATTACAAAGTTCTATCTGCTCAGTACCTAGTTTTGAGTAATTTGACGTCAAAATTTTGAGTTTTATATTGGTAAGCTTTTTCAATGCAATTCTTTAAACATCTTGATAACGACTCCGAATATTCTTATGATTTTGATAGAACAGATAGAGCATTTGCTTTCTGGCATCAAGGTCGTAGAAACTCAAAATGGCTAAAAGTGTCAGATAGAACTTCTGATGATAGCGATATATAGTCTCAAGCCCAGGAAAATTAAGAGGGGAATTCAATCTTTGGGTGGCACTGTTACATATTGCTAATCAATCATCAAAATAAATCGATATCATTAAAAAGTGCTCGGTTTTGAAAGTGCGCGGCTCTGTCTTTTTTTTCAGAAAGAGGGCGGCTCTGATACAGTTAAAACTTTGGTAAACGTAAATTTCGACCAACTTGTTTTAAAAACAGTTAAAAAGCGTTTTTTAAATATTACAGCATTGGGAACCAAATGTACTCCCTGTGACGGAGAATAGAGACTGGATGTGCGGTCAAAAATTCAACTCATCCTCAAATATCTATATCACAGCACTTTGTATCAATCTGTCTTAACTCAATCACATTATTTTCATATCAATGCAGGGTAGATTAACAAACTTTTCTTCATAAGTTTACATAAAATATTATAAATCTCCGTCACGCGGAAAATGGGATTGTTCACAGCACTTATTGCCGCTTCCCACACACATTTTGCATACGCACGGCCTACATCACATCCAATCAATGACATAATTTTAGTGGAAATTACTACAAGAAATTAATTTTATTGTGAACACTTTTTGCACTGAAAGTTCACAAAAGTGCATTCAATGAGTATAACGTCGGGATTAGAAAAACAACAACCGAACCCCCCCCCCCCCCCCCAAAAAAAAAAAAACAGCTGCGGACTTGCTGATATTGTCCCCGCTTTAAACCTTTTGAAATCTGTAGAAACCACCCACTGGGATTTTTTAAAAGCATTAATTAAGGAATTTTCTAGAACACAGCTAACAGGTGTTTACAAAAATATTGAACTGTTAAGACAATTTGATACAAGTCATTTTGCAAAAGCTGGTGACTTTAAGTTCCGTAAATGAGAAAACATTTGTCAATAAGTTGCGCCACGCTCTTTTTTTTAACCTAATCGCACCATAGGTCTAGCAAGTTCTGAATGGAAGGATAAAGTTCATTTTTACCCAATCTTCTAAAGCCAATGAAAACGCATTCGGTCAGCACCAAACTCTATTATTTTTTTTCTCTCTATTAGCAGTCAAGAAGCTCGGAACAGCAGACAGGCTTAGATTATGCTTTGCAATTCAAATTGATGCAATGGCCTATCAAAGAAAAAGAAATTATACATTGCAATACAAAGTGATGCAGTAGCCTATCTAAAATTTAAGAGAAAGATTATACATTATGGTTCCAAGCAATGCAATAGCCTGTCAAAGAGAAAAATTATACATTGCCATACCGTACAAAGTGTGATACAAATTCCATGTCTGAGAGTAAAATTATACATTGCCATACCGTACAAAGTGTGATGCTATAGCCTGTCAAAGAGAAAAATTATACATTGCCATACCGTACAAAGTGGGACGCAATAGCCTGTCAAAGAGAAAAATTATACATTGCCATACCGTACCAAGTGTGATGCAGTAGCCTGTCAAAGAGAAAAATTATACATTTCTATACAAACAGATGCAAAGGACCGTTTAAGAGAAGAATTCCACATTGCTATTGGAAGAGAAGCAATAGCCTGACAAAGCGGAAGATTAGACATTGCTAACGAAGTGATGCAATAGATAGACTGATTCTAGTTTTGTAATGCAACTCTGAGCGACGTAGATCTAGGAGCTCAACTGCAGTTTCTTTGGTTTAATATTGCAAGAGAAAGCAATACAATAAACTATCGACAGATCAAGAAAAAGAATATAATATATCGCTGTCTTTTTGTATTTTTAACTCAGACCAATTCTCATATTGCAAACTACTATCCAAACCAATGTAATATGTATATCAAAATATTATATTATATTATACATACATACATACTTACACACACACACACTCACACACTCACATACACACACGCACGCACGCATATATTGTGAGGCACAGTGGAGAAATCAGGAGCTCGTTACAATTACGAAATCGAAGATATCGGCATTTTTCCTCCAGTTTGACTAAAAAAAATTTTTTTGCTTTTTGCTTCAACACATTTTATATCCATTTAAAATGTAATATTTCTGTGTGGATTTAACTGTAAAAGATTGATTTAAAGGCACAACAAATGTAAATTTTCAGTTTCCACGGACTCTTTGGAAATTACCGAACTTTGGCCGCCATTTTTACGCTAATTTACCTCAGCAACCAGGCGACTCCGACCTCCTTCAGTCACGAAAGCTCGACTTCTATTCAAGTTAGGTGTGTATTTTTAAAAAAATCATAAGATGGTCAGACAAACGAGCTTTAAGATGATGACAATAACTTTAGGTGCTCACAAACTAAACGAGTGCATGGTTCTAGCGCGTCGTGTCCTATATATTATATGCATATATATATAT